GGGCGAAGACGAGGAGCAAAGAGAGGAGAGGGAAGAGAGAGAGGAGAAAGAGGAGGAGGATGTGGAGGGCGCTTTCGCACTGCGAGCGGGAGCCTCTTAGTGTGACCCTTCAGCACCATGTTCGCTACTCGCAAGAAATTGCGTCTTACATCCAATCCCTGCCTTAGCACGGCACCCAAAACAACGCGCACGGAATCGAGAACCCGATGGGTCGTTCCGTTTCCCTTGCGGCCCCGAGAATCCTCGGGGACTCCTGCGGGGTCCAGAAGGATCTTGAAGGGACGAATTCCTAACTACTCCTGAGGGGCTCTGAGGTGTCCTTCGGACTCCTTTAGATCCCTGAAGAACTCTTGATGGATCCCGGGAGGCCTGAAGGGTAGATACTCCGGGAGTTTGCTGGTTTCGGCGGATTCCTGATGGTTTCTGAAAGATCCTGGCGCTTCCCGAAAGTTTCCTAACAAGGAGTCCTGAAGACTCTGGAAAGAATCCTGCGAACTCCACGAGGAGTCCTGAAGGGTCCTGCCAGGTTCCAGAAGGATTCCTGCGGATATCCTATGGGCCTAGGATCCCGGGGGGATCGTGAGGGTGCCACTGGTGTCCTGCAGGTCAGGCCGACGTTGGTGCAAGCCACTCTAGGGTAGCCAGGCTGCTTGGGGCGGTCTTGGGCAAAGCCGTCTCGGGCTTCCTTGGGCCGTCGTGGCTTGGGCTGTCTTGGGCCCCATGTGTGCTCTCATGTTTCTTGCCTCATGCAGTCGCGCAGCGAGGGGGCGCGCTGCCTGTGGCACGAGCTACGCAGCAAAAGCAGGGCACCTTCCTGGCCACAGATGTCCACACACACACACACACACACACACACACATAATGCTCCGTTAGTAATTCGGGATCCTGTAGATTTCGGCATAGTTCTGAAGGTAGCTGGGGATTCCCGAATGTTTCCGGGGATTCCCGAAGGATTCTTGATGGATTCCTGGCAATTCTTCAAGGACTGGTGCCGACTCCAAAAGCCTTCCTGCAAATCGCTGCCCTGATTCATTCAGGATCCCCGAGGACTCCCCGTGCTTCCGCAGAACTCCTGGGATGTTGTGTGGATCCCAGGGATGTCCCCAAGATTCCAGCAGACTCTTAAGGCATCCCACGAAGAGCGTGATGAGGTCGGCTTCTTCCGGCCGTCCTGGGAAGCCTCTGTCGCACCGCCTGGACGAACCATCACGGTACTCCATGAGTCACCACTCATGTGATTGAATTTCCTCGGCGGCCACGAAGGACCCCCCAGTCCGAGGAATGTCGCCCTCCACCGCACCGACAGCGACATTTAGCGCCCGTATTCTGAAAATCCTCGGAGCTAAAGGGTCGGGGGAGCGGGGGGGTTGAGGCGGCGGGGGCGCGATTCCTCATCAAACGAGGAGTCCTGGAGATTCGGCCTAATCTGAAACCTAATGGCGGCAAGCACTCGGGCGCGCGACGTGGTATTTCGAATTGTGGCATGAATGATGTGGCGCATTGTGACACAGTGGTTGTTCATCAATGCGCGCGTGCGTGCGTAATACAGAGTGGCAAAATTAGCGTGGAAAGCTACATGATGAAAAGCGTTTCACTCGTGGTCTCTGGTCCCCACCATGATGCATTGAGACACAAAACACGCATCCTTATTGCGCGCATTCTCGCGTGCGTAATACGAGAATCAGCAGATAATAGCCTAGTTAACTTTGAAATTGAGTGGTGGAAGCCGATTGCTCCTCTCAAACTCTGCAACCACAACGTTGAATAATGCATTGCGGTGCAATGCACGTCCTGTATTGCTTGCGCGAGCAAGACAAAACCAACTATCCTGGCGAGAGGCCAAAACATATGCAGCTGTGAGTAACGCAGTTGTGAAAGTCGTCTTCGGTGGAGCTCCCTATGGGGGGCACGAAACGTGTGAGAAGTGTGCCGACATGGGTCGGGCGGACGCATGTGGACCCTCCCACCGGGACCTTCGATGGAGATCCCTCAGGGACACGAGACGCTTGAGGGGCGTGCCGAAGTAGGTCGCGCGAGCGCACGTGGACCCTACCACTGGGGCCTTCGGTGGAGCCTCCTTTGGGGCCACGAATCGTGTGAGGGGAGTGTCGTAATGGGGCGGCGCCACCGTGCGGACCCTGCCACTGGGGCCTTCGGTGGAGCTCCCGATGAAGCCACGAAACATGTGAGGGTGTGCCGAAATGGGCAGGGCGGACGCACGTGAACCCTGCCAGTGGGGTTTTCGGGGGAGCTCCCTTTTGGGGCCTCGAAACATTTGCGGCCACGACACGGGTCAGGGGTGTGCCGAATTGGAGCCCGGTATGGGGCTACGAAACATGTGAGGGGTGTGCCGAAAAGGAGCGGCGCGAAACGGGCGGTGGCACCATGTGGACCCTGCCTCTGGGACCCCAGACGGCCCAAGAGAGGCCCCAAGTGGGGCCCCAGAGGGGGAGCCCGAACCGAGAATTCGGGCTTTCCGCCCCAAGATACCCCCAGGAGGCCCCAAGAGGCCCCCAAAAGGCCCCCAAGAGGCCCCCAGACTCCGCAAGTGGCAACAGAGCGGCTCCCAAGAAGCCGCAAAAGTGCGTCCAAGAGACCGATCCCAGCGTTGGGTCACATTGGCGTGTCCAAAGAGCAGGAGCGGCGGTGATTCGCCGTACGACTCGTCGATGAAAACTGCGAGTAAAAAGATGCTGATAATCAACGGCATGCCCAACTGGTTTGGCAAGGAGCCGCCCTCCCTTCGTGCAACTGTTGCACAATGCTGACCTCAGGGTCATGATGTGCTCGGGAAGGCCCAAACGAGAGCCCCATCCTGAAAAAGAGCCGTCCTTCTTCCTTGCAACTGCTGTGCAAGCTTACACGCGTGGTCGTACACGTGGCCGAATTATCGCTCGAGAGCTACATGTTGAAAAGGTTCCGCCCTCCATCCGTACACGGATGTGCGCGGCGCTGAAGCAAGGGCCAACTTTTGAAGAAAACAGCCATCCATCCTTGCCAGCGCTGGGACAGCATCAACAAACGAATGTGTACGGCGCTGAGGCGAAAGCCCCCGTTTTGAAAACGGTCCGCCATCCATCCTTGTCCCTGGTGGGCACTTATAAGACGAATGCTCCCGCGCGCCAACTGGATAGCCGCATAATGAAAACGGCCCACCCGCCCTATGTTAAAGAAATTGTACATACGAATGTGCGCGGCGGGAGGGAGAAAGGAGGAGGAGCGAGCAGGAGAAACAGGAGAAGAAGGGAGGAGGGGGAACGAACGAACGAACACCCGCAGGGCCATTCATCCGCAGCCGGAGATTTCGAATTGTCATGAGGAAAGGATTGGGTCGGGCATGTCCCCCTACACGCGGATTGTGGACAGAAAATGCAAAAATACCCCAAAAACGCTCAAAAATAACAAAAAATGCTCATCAAAATTCGTCCCCAAAAGCACCCAAAAATAAGAAAAAAATGCTCAACATAGATCGTCCCCAGACCATCGTGTTTTCCCTACCTAGGCTCTGCCTAGAGGGTTCCTACTCTCTTGGCTTAAAGGGGCCGGGCAGTGTTCCCCGCCCCGGGCGGTTCCCCCGGTATCCGCCCCGCGGTTCCCCCAGTTACGTCCCCTGGGTTCACCCAGCTTAGCTTAGCCAAGCTTAGCTTAGCTTAGCTTAGCTTAGCTTAGCTCATCTTAGCTTAGCTTAGCTTAGCTGAGCTTCGCCTGACCTAGCTTAGCTTAGCTTAGCTTAGCTTATATCAGATTAACTTGGCTTAGCTTAGCTTAGCTTAGCTTGGCTTAGCTTGGCTTAGCTTGGCTTAGCTTAGCTTAGCCTAGCCTAGCTTAGCTTATAATAGCTTAGCTTAGAATAGTTTAGCTTACCTTAGCTTAGCTTAGCGCAGCGCAGCATAGCGCAGCGCAGCATTAGCACAGCATAGCATAGCATAGCATAGCATAGCCAAGCATAGCATGGCATAGCATAGCATAGCATAGCATAGCACAGCTCAGCATAGCCTGACATAGCATAGCATAGCATAGCGCAGCATAGCATAGCATAGCATAGCACAGTATTGCTTAGCATAGCACAGCGCAGCATAGCATAGCATAGCACAGCATCGCATAGCATGGCATAGCATAGCATGGCATAGTATTGCGCAGCATAGCATAGCATAGCATGGCATCGCATAGCATAGCATAGCACAGCGCAGCATAGCATATCATAGCATAGCCTAGCACAGCATAGCGCATCAAAGCATAGCCTAGCATGGCATAGCATAGCGCAGCATAGCATAGCGCAGCATAGCATAGCATCGTATAGCATAGCGCAGCATAGCATAGCACAAGGCAAAAGCAAAGGCAAGAGCAAAAGCAAAGGCAACGCAAAGCAAAAGCGAAGCCAATGCGAAAGTGTAGATGTAATGTAGATGTAGGTGTAGGTGTAGATGGGGATGTAGGTGTAGATGTAGATGTAGGTGTAGGTGTAGGTGTAGGTGTAGGTGTAGGTGTAGATGTAGATGTAGATGTAGATGTAGATGTAGATGTAGATGTAGATGTAGATGTAGATGTAGATGTAGATGTGAGTCTCGATGTTGATGTAGATGTAGATGCAGGTGTAGATGTAAATGTAGCTGTCGGTGTAGATGTAGATGTTGTTTCCCTAAATGCTCCAACTCCTAGGTGGGGTCGCACTGGGATAACTACTATCTTCGAACCTCCCTCCGGCAGAGGGACAGGCCCGACTCTCCAGCAGCAGAGGAGCAGGACGCACTGCCTTTTCAAGGGTAGCTCGGCGCTGCAGCCTCACCCGGCGCAGCGAGGCGGCGCGAGGAGGGAGGTAGGAGGGCACCAACTATACACCAACACCGATCCTGGCCCAGGATCACCCTGGGCCCAGGATCGGTGTATATGCCTTCTTGCGCAAGGCAGGAGGGCGTATACACCGATCCTGGGCCCAGGGTGATCCTGGGCCAGGATCGGTGTTGGTGTATAGTTGGTGCCCTCCGAGGAGGGGCGAGGCGCACGGGAGAGAGAGGGGCGCTCCGAGGCGGGAGCGGCCCGCAGCAGATCGCGCGGGCGATCCCGGCCTACTCGTCGTCGCCGTCCTCCTCCGTCGCCGCGGCCTGCACCGCCACGGTGTCCAGCTCGCGCTGGCCCTCCTTCTCAAGGGCTCCCGACTTCGCGCTTCGCGCTGCGCGAATGAAGGGGAACTGGGGCACACAAATAAATACACACAAATAACAAGATTCCACATATTTTCCTATATTTTCTGGGTTTTTGTCTTCCCCCCCACTTCCCATATTTTCGCATATTCTCTGGGAATCGCCGATTAATTGTGTCTGTGTGTTTCTTTCCCTCCTGAGCGAAGCGCGCAGTGCGAATGACTTCGCGCTCTCGCGCCTTCTCCCAGGGGAGAGGAGGAGGAGGAGGAGGAATCGGAGCCGAAGCGCGAAGCGCGAAGCGCGAACAGCTTCGCGCCCTCGATGGTGCCCTGGCTTCTGGGGGAACCCAGCAGGCACGGACACCGCCGCTGCCTGGACCTCCCCAGGGGGCGCGCTCGGGCCGGGGCTCCGAGGCGAGTCCAGGCGGTGGCGACGAGGGCCTCCCGGGAGGCCCAGAGCGGGGGAAGACGAGGGAAGGGTAGAGGCACGGGCGCCTTTCCCTCCCCTGCTCCTTCGTGATCTTCCGGCCGCCGTTCTCGTCCTGCTCCACCAGGCCCATCTCCTCCAGCTGCTGCAGGACGTACCTGGCGATCTTGCCGGAACTCTTGGAGAAGACGTTGGTGCACACGCCCCGGCGCTTCTGCCCGCCGTAGACCTTTCGGGGACGAACTGACCCGGGCCAATCCAAATCTGGGTCAGTCAGGCCTTGCAGGATCCTGCAGAATCCTGCAGAATCCTGCAGGAACCTGCACCCCAACCCAGGTCAGTGCGCCCCTGGCCCTGCAGGATCCTGCAAGATCCGGTGTTCTGGCTGACCCCCATTTGCTTTGACCCCCGTCTCTTGAGCCCCGAACCTTGCGGAACCCACCGACGCCGGTGCCACCGCGGATGTAGATCTTCCTCACCATCGAGGCGGTGCGGACGTAGAGCCAGTCTGGGTCGAGGGGCGGAAGCTCCTTGTGCTTGCTGGTCTTCACCACGTCCGCCCACTTCGGGATCTCGAACCTGCCCTGGCGCTTCAGGTGCTCAGCAAAGGCCTTGATGAAGGCTGGCGCGTCAACGTCCTTCACTGTCACGATGGCGGTGGCTGCCTGCTCCTTGAAGTAGTCGTCGTACGCGCCGCCGGACATGGCTCGGGACGGAGGCCGCTGCGCAGCGGTGCTGGGGAGATGCGCACTTCCGTCTGCCACGATGACTTGAGCCAAAATGGCTACGGAAGCAGGAGGAGGAGGAAAGAGAGGAGGGAGCAGGAGGAGGAGGAGGAGGAGGAGGAGGACAAGTTAGGTGCGCTCGCGTCAACATCTGACATCCTACCCCTCCCTCCCATCCCTTACCATGGCGCTGATTTTCTCTATCCGCGGACGCGTGTCGTAGCGGACCTGTGGCTCCGCGCGCGTGTGCGTAGTGGGTGGTGGTGCGCGTGCGTGCGTGCGTGTGTGCGTGGTTGTGGTTGTTGTGGTGGTGGTGTGTGTGTGTGTGTGTGCGTGTGTGCGCGTGTGCTGTGGTGTGACGTGGTGTGGCGTCTTGGTGGTTTGGTGGTGGGCCAGGTGCGTACGTGCGTGATGGCGGTGGTGGTGGTGGTGGCGGTGGTGGTGTGTGTGTGTGTGTGCGTGTGTGTGCGTGTGTGTGTGTGTGTGTGTGTGTGTGCGTGTGCGTGCGTGTGTGTGCGTGTGTGTGCGTGCGTGCGTGCGTGTGTGTCTGTGTGTGCGCGCGTGTGATGTGGTGTGACGCGGTGTAGCGTGGTGGTGGTGGGTGGGGTAGTGCGGTGGTGGTGGCGGTGCGCGGTGGTGGTGCGCGTGCGTGCGTGCGTGCGTTGGTGGGTGGAAGTGGCGGTGGGTGTGCGTGCGGCGGGGCGGGGCGTGGTGCGGCGCGGTGGTGGCGGGCGGATGGGCGCGCGAGAAAGAGGCCCGCGCTGGGGCGAGAACGCCATCCTGAACGACGGAGGCAAAACACCGATCCGAAAATGAGGCCCACGCTGCAGCGGGAGCACGATTCGGAACGATTCGGGAGCGGAAATGAGGCCGGCGCCTCAGCGAGAGCAGCATTTTGAAAAAAAACGCAGGCGAAAACCCAACTCCCGGGAATCCTGTGTGCAAATAAACAATACGCGGGGGGGGGTCTACTACTCCCAGCACGCCATCAGGGGAAGAGGGAGAGTAGTATTCATATTGAGTAATTGCGGAGGAAGGAGGGGGAAGGAGGAGGAAAGAGAGGAGGGAGCAGGAGGAAGAGGGGAGAGGGGACCGGCGCCGATGCCATTCTCTGGGGCCTCCGCGGCCCCTGCGCCCTGGTCTGGCCCTCCGAAGGCCTGGCCGCTCGGGTCCCCCCAGGAAAGAACACACAGACGGGTGGACCCTACGGCGAGTTCGTATCGCGACGGCTCTGGAGCGGCTTTCTCACCGGCGCCGCGCGGACGATTCAGCCTTGAAGCGATCGGCGGCTCCTCGATCGTCAGCTCGTTTCATTCTTGGCAGATGCTGGGTCAGTCGGCGTTCAACCTTGATTGCCCGCGGCGGGGTCGCCGCCGCGTCGACACGACACGAACCTGGCGTACCTGTTGTCTACGGTTAGGTCGGGCATGCCCCCCCACAGGAGGATTTGTACGAAAAATCAGAAAAATACTCAAATATATTCGAAAATCCTAAAAAAAATACTCCAAAAATCATCCCAAAACTATTTTTTCCTACGTTTGAACATTCCTCCTGTAGAGGGACAGGCCCGACTTAAGTCTACGGCTGTGCGTTGCGCCCGCCGTGACTTCCAACACAGAGGGCAGCGAGCAGAGCGAGGCCCACGAGCAGCAAACGGCAGAAGGGAGAGACGCCCACAGCCCCGGCCCACGGGGCCTCCCGCGTGACTCCTCCTCCTCCTCCTCCTCCTCCTCCTCCTCCTCCCTCCTCCCCCTCTCCTCCTCACTCCTCCTCCTCCTCCTCACTCCCCCTCCTCCTACTCCCCTCCTCCCTCCTCCTCCTCCCCCTCCTCCTCCTCTCCTCATCCTCCCCTCCTCCTCCTCCCCCCCTCCTCCCCCCCCTCCTCCTCATCCCCTCCTCCCCTCCTCCTCCTCCTCCTCCTCCCACGGGGCCTCCCGCGTGACTGGGCCCGCCGCGTGCCTCCTGGGCTGTCCCCCGCGGCTCTGCCCAGAAGGGCCACGGAGCCCCGAGACGGCCCCCGAGCGAGTCGGCGGAGGGCCGCAGGACGGCCCGAAAGGGCCCCGGCACGGCCCAAAAGAGCGCCCCAAGACGGCCGCAAGACGGCCCGGGAGGTCCCCGAGGCGTCCCAGGAGCGCCCCGAGACGGCCCAGTGTACCCCCAAGACGGCCCTGCAGCGCTCCCAGAGGGCCCTCGGAGGGGCAGGCCCCAAGAGGCCCCCGAGAGGCACCCCAAGAGGCCTCAACAGGCATGCTAGCGGCCTCAGGCCCACCACCCAAGCACAGTGGCGGGATGGTCCGAAGGCCACAAGGTACTAGCCCATCACCCCCGACCTGGCCCGACAAAAAGGATGGCAACAACGGGCCAAACATATGATGTCGTCCGCGCACATCAGCACGAGTGAATAGACAGACGAATTTATCTGACCCGTCTGGCACCAATCACAAAAAACGGCAACGACGAGCCAATCGCATCCTGTCATCCGCGAGCATCGCGACGAATGCCTGGCTCCGCATCCATGCCTGGAGCACCACATGGTGCCGTGCCCCTGGGCACTGCGGGCTCGAGGAGTAGAAAGTAATAGGATTCTGCAGGCCCAGGGGCCCGGGTTGCCTGAACCTTTTTGGTCGCAGCGGCGCGGACCCACGCCGCGTTCGAAGGCAGCCAAGCGGCACTACGGGGCCGAAGTGGACACAACAGAAGCGGGAGGAGAGCGGGCGCGAGGGAAGAGGACGGAGCACGCTCAGAACATGAGCTCCCTCGAACGTGTGGGCCAGAGCACGGGCGTGCACAGCGGGGAGACGTCCTCCTCCTCCTCCTCCTCCTCCTCATCCTCCTCCTCCTCCCCCTCCTCCTCCTCCTCCTTCCTCTCCTCCTCCTCCCCCTCCTCATCCCTCTCCTCCTCTCCTCCTCCTCCCCTCTCCTCATCCTCCTCTCCTCCCCTCCTCCTCCTCCTCCCCCTCCTCCCCCCCCTCCTCCTCCTCCTCCTCCTCCCCTCCTCCTCCTACTCCCCCTCCTCCCCTCCTCCTCCTCCTCCTCCTCCTCCTCCTCCTCCCACGGGGCCTCCCGCGTGACTGGGCCCGCCGCGTGCCTCCTGGGCTGTCCCCCGCGGCTCTGCCCAGAAGGGCCACGGAGCCCCGAGACGGCCCCCGAGCGAGTCGGCGGAGGGCCGCAGGACGGCCCGAAAGGGCCCCGGCACGGCCCAAAAGAGCGCCCCAAGACGGCCGCAAGACGGCCCGGGAGGTCCCCGAGGCGTCCCAGGAGCGCCCCGAGACGGCCCAGTGTACCCCCAAGACGGCCCTGCAGCGCTCCCAGAGGGCCCTCGGAGGGGCAGGCCCCAAGAGGCCCCCGAGAGGCACCCCAAGAGGCCTCAACAGGCATGCTAGCGGCCTCAGGCCCACCACCCAAGCACAGTGGCGGGATGGTCCGAAGGCCACAAGGTACTAGCCCATCACCCCCGACCTGGCCCGACAAAAAGGATGGCAACAACGGGCCAAACATATGATGTCGTCCGCGCACATCAGCACGAGTGAATAGACAGACGAATTTATCTGACCCGTCTGGCACCAATCACAAAAAACGGCAACGACGAGCCAATCGCATCCTGTCATCCGCGAGCATCGCGACGAATGCCTGGCTCCGCATCCATGCCTGGAGCACCACATGGTGCCGTGCCCCTGGGCACTGCGGGCTCGAGGAGTAGAAAGTAATAGGATTCTGCAGGCCCAGGGGCCCGGGTTGCCTGAACCTTTTTGGTCGCAGCGGCGCGGACCCACGCCGCGTTCGAAGGCAGCCAAGCGGCACTACGGGGCCGAAGTGGACACAACAGAAGCGGGAGGAGAGCGGGCGCGAGGGAAGAGGACGGAGCACGCTCAGAACATGAGCTCCCTCGAACGTGTGGGCCAGAGCACGGGCGTGCACAGCGGGGAGACGTCCTCCTCCTCCTCCTCCTCCTCCTCATCCTCCTCCTCCTCCTCCTCCTCCTCCTCCTCATCTTCCTCCTCCTCCTCCTCCTCCTCCTCCTCCTCATCCTCCTCCTCATCCTCCTCCTCATCCTCCTCCTCCTCCTCCCTCCAAGGTGGTCCAAAGGGTGCCACCCCCCTCCCGCGGGGGCGGCCTCCCTGGCTCCGGGCACGGCATGCCTTGCGGGCCGTCCGGAGCGCCCAGGACGGCTTCCAGGGTTGGCTCTTAGAGGGCCCCAGGATAGCTCAAGGTGGCCTCGAGGATTGTTTCCTCGATAAAAACGGTCGAGAAACAATTAGTGAACACCCACCCCGCTCCACAAACTCAAAGTTGGCACGCGCGGGGGAGACTGCGGTCGAGGTGCAACTCATCAGACCCACCGCCAACTTTGAACATTCGGGGGAGGGGGAGGCGTTGACAGATGAATGTGGCATGATTGCTCGCCATTTTTTTCCGAGGCCTGAAGCACAGTAGGAATATATGCTACACGCGTGGAGGCAAACATCGAGTGAGCAGCCCTGGGGGCAAACATTCGCACTGCCCGAAGGCCGTACCTGTCGCGGCGCCGCTGAGGAAGGAAGGGAGGGAGAGTGAGGAGGAGGAGGAGGAGGAGGAGGAGGAGGAGGAGGAAGAGGAGAGGAAGGCCAAAGAAGGTGGCCTCCAGGATTGGCCACGATATCCCAGGATGACTTTCGACGTCGACGTGCTTCAAAAGGCCCCAAGGCCGCTCCAAAGACGGGTCCAGGTTGCCAAGGGGCATCCCGAGAGTGCCCCCCCAAGAAGTCAAAGGCCGTCCAAAACCGCAGGAAGATCATCCACGTGTGTTTATTTTTGCCATCTCGCTCCCGAATGCTTTCTAAAGGCCTTAAGATGGCTCCAAGGAGGGCCACGGAAGCCCCAAGAGGAACCGAATATGGACCCAAGACAGCCCTGCAACCTGGCTCCGAGATGGTCCGAGAAAGCCCAAGAGATGGCTCAAGGTAACCCAAGCGAGCTCAAGATGTTCATTCTTATGCCTCCCGAAGACCCCAAGACACCCCCAAGATGACCCCGAGTAGCCACCAAGCATCCCAAGGAGGCCCCAAGGGGGCCAAAATCCTCACCAAACTTGAGGAACACACGCACGCACATACACACACACACACACACAACCACACACACATACACACACACACACACACACACATACGCACACACACACAGTCACACACAAAAACACACACGCGCACAAATACACACACACACACACACACACTTTGCGTCGGCGGCTAGGCAGAGCGACTGCTCTGGCGGATAGGGCAAAAAACACACACACACACACGCGCGCGCGCGCGCGTTACTTGCCTCCTCGCCGGCTCGCTTCCCAGTGGGCAATGAGGCCTGAAAATAGCCCCAAGAGGGCCCACGAGAGCCCAAGGAGGAGCCCAAGACGGGCCCAAGACGGCCCCAAGAGCGCACAGGAGCCCGCCGAGAGCGGCCCAAGTGGGTACCAAGGCGCGACTTCCTGGGCTCCAGAGAGGCAACGCCAACTAAGGACCCCCCCATTCTTTGATCGATACTCCAGATTTCGTAATAAAGGGAGGGGGGTCTCATTTCGGGGGGGGTCTCTTCCAGGCTATCTTGGAGGGCCTGGGGGGGTCTGGGGACGATGTTTTGGAGGGTTCTCCCACGGGGGGGGTCTAAAACTTCTCGTCTGGGAGGGTTGAGACCCCCTCCCTTTTATTACAAAATCTGGAGTAGCCTCCAAGATGCGCCCGCAGCCCCCTTCCCCCCAGAGAGCCCCAAGAGCACCTCGACAGGGCACCAGAGGCGTCCCAAATAGCCCCAACGGCGCCCCAAGATGGCCAGGGTAAGCTGCCAAGAGGCTCTCATATCGAAAGCATGTATGGTTGACTCCTGGGCCTGCTCCAGCAGACTCCGATCCTCGCTTTGACGGCTGCCCCACCCCTCCTGATTCCACTGCGTGCTCTCGCACGTTCTTTCGCCTGGGCATCTTGGCTGCATGGGCTGGTGGGGACACGCGAAGCGACAAGAACTATAGGCGTAGATTGCCGCTCGTCTGAAAGGTCTCGCGTGAGCCTTCTGCGAGTCCTGTGGCATCAGAGTGCACCAGCACGAAGGATCATATAGACAAACTAAATTCATCACCACCACCTGTTCAAAAACATGAAAAAAGCATACGTCGGATCACCTATGTTCTACCATCCTCGGGCATCGGCGCGAGTGTTTGGATCTGCCACCATGCCCTGAGCACGTAGTAGAATGCCTCCGGGCTCAGACAGCGACTACATAGTATTCGCTGAAAGGCTGTAGGACCCCCGATTCGCTAGAAAAATATAGGCGCCTCTGACTAGTCTTAAGGTGTTCGGCACAACCCTTCCAGAGGCAGAATTTGCTGAACAACAACAACAACCAAACAACAACAACAACAACAACAACAACAACAACAACAACAACAACAACAACAACAACAACAACAACAACAACAACAACAATAACAACAACAACAAC